TTTTAAAAATTTAAATTTAAATTAATAATAATAATTAATTTTTACACTTATATATCATATAAATTCATAATCTTTAATGACGTGGATTCGGAGCATTAAAGTTAGTTGTACCAAAAAAAAAAGTTAGGTTGCAACTGACATAACATAACATTTCCTGGCTCCAATTCTATTGGCCACAAAGGAGATTGCGACGTGGCTTCACGCACTCGCGTCAACGATTTTGCCTTTTTTTTATAAATTACTAATTTGATCCCTCAACTTTTAGACTATATGGAAATTATCCTTATATTTTCAAAAATATTAAAATTATCCTTAAATTTTAATTTTTAATGTTAAAAAATCCTTCTATTAACAAAAGTATCATGTAACTTTTTATTTTATCATAAAATCAATTTTTTTTAAATACTAATATTGTGTAAAATGAAATAATAATATTGTACGATCGTGATATAATTTTATTAACAAATCAGATTGATATATAATTAAAATTGAAAGATCAAATTGATATTTGTAATCAAAGTTTAAAACTATATTAGTACTTGTCTTCAAAGTTTAATGATTAAATTGGTATTATCTTCAAAGTTTAAAAACTATTTTGGTATTTAAAATTAGAATTTAAAGAAATTTTGATATTTTTTGAAGTTAAGAGATAATTTTAATATAAATATTAAAATTGAGGGACCAAATTGATATTTTAACCTTTAATATGTCTACGACTATTAAACAGAACCACAAAAGGCAAAATCATTGTGGCGTGTGAAGCCGGTAGACTTCTTTTCTTTTCACACATAAGCCCTCAGAGGAAAAAATAATTACATATAAGTTACTGAACGTTCTAATCTCAGCATAAGCTCAAATGTGCACTTAATGGAAGAAAAAAAATATGGTCATTTTTTTTGAACAAATACAATTATCTACAACTACTAAGGGGGTGAAGAAAGGGAGAATTAGGAGTTGAAACTCAAACCTCACAATTGTATTTCCACTAGGAGAGTCCACAACGTGCAGGACAAATAGGTGGCCATTTTAACTTGTGTAATCATTGTAAATAACATGTGTTATTTTTTCAAACTCTTATATTAAAAACAAAAAAAAAAAAAAATTCAAGGGCTTGTCATTTGGTTTTACCTAAACGGAAATAATATGGCAGATTCATGTAGTTAGTCTTTTTTTTCTTTTTGGATGTACTGGTCTTAGTCTTCTATAAATAATAATAAATAGACCCAAATTTAAGATTAAAATTTGAAA